TCTCAATGTGCCTGATTGACTTGTTAGGGATTGGTCTGCATTCCTGAAGCAACCGCTGTGGCTAGGGGACCAACAGTCTCCAGTCACTGGAGCTAAGTCACACAAGGTCACTCCCCACACAGGGGTGATGTCAGCTCGACTTGAGGCTCAGCAGAGCAGAACTGGAGGAGAGAGCAGCTCCCTGGAGCCAAATCAGTTTACTGTTATCAGGAGAGTGAAGGATGTGGGGCAGCAGAAACGGCAAATGCTCATCACGCCATCGTCTCTTCATCCATAATGTGCAAACGTGTGTGTGTTCCTGTGCTTCTAAAACACAGAGAAAAAAGCGGTCAGAAACAGGACCTGCAGAACAAACATGAAATAAGTAAGTCTGGCTATTCCCAACTCAAACCTCGAGAGCAGTGAGAAGAGCTGTGCCATCTCCTGGAGTCTGGCTCTGTCACTTCCTAGAAATTACCTGTACCACAGACTGAATTGTCTTGGATCACCAAGAGTATCTGTCGCAAGTACTAAAGTGCGCCATGCTTTGGGGGCACTTTCTCTGTTTCCATCTGCTGCCCATACTTCTTGGGGGTCAACCTTACAACAAGATTCTGACCCCAGATCCACATCTGTGATTCCTCCTCTTTTATTGCCACTCTTTGTCTCGTCTGTGGTAGCCTTCCTTATATTAGAACTCAGCTCAGCTGTATTCATATCAGGAATTTTATATAAAAATTAGTCTGCACCTTCTAATTAATTACTCTGACTGTGCACCTATTTCAATGATGTTGTACAGCTAAAGACATTTTATAAGTTAAGACATCATTTGAAAATGGTTCTCATAGCCTGCACACATTCTTCTAAACATCTTCAGGAAATGGAGCTGTTGACAGTTTTGAAGTAGCAAACCTCATTGATAACCATGTTGCAAGCCTGTCCTTTGAATCAATGTCCAATCAACCTTCCTTTACAAGACTACATTATACTATGGTGAATTCTTTAATTTAGTCATTAAATTTAATTTGTGTTGTTTGTATATACATGGATAAATCTTAACCTGGATACATGAATTCAAATTTTTTATTATTTTTCTAATGATTAATTTTTTTCTAAGGGACTGAGTAGAACACTAAAGTGTACATTAGAACCATGTAAGGAGCACTTTAAAAGTTCAAATTCTAAGGCTTTCATCCTAAAAAGTTTGATTCAGAAATTCTCAGGCAGAGACCATGATATACTTGGTTTTTTTCTTTATGAAAATTTCCTTTAGCTATCTTTAAAATAGCACATGCTTGTTTAATGACAAAAATTGAATCTAAGTATTCGTAAAGCGTAAGTTAAACATGCCTGTATATTCTTTTCTTCTTTTTTCACACCTATTAGGTAACAATCTGTTGTGAATCCCTCTACGGTTTTTATGTTCAAAGAACATATTTATCTGTTTTATTTGTTTCTAAGTGGGGTTATATAATAGACATCCCCTGCAGCTTATTTTTTCACTTAATAATGCATTACAGGTATTATGTTAATATATTTAGACCAAACTCATAATTTATTTATACAATATCTCATGCCCTGATACACTACAGTTTTTTTAAATTTTTTGCACACTGATGGATGTTTAAGTACACCTCTTTGCTTTGGCCTCCACTAGGTGCCCCAGAGGTGAAACCTAGAAGAATTTTTACGTAGCCTCCAAATCCAATATATTCTTGAACAGTTTTCAAGTATTCAATACAGTTCAGTGATAATTAAGGCACACTGACTACTTCTCTTCTATAGAAAGCACACGTCCCTATCAGATTTAATTTGAACACTTAGATAACAATAGCAATATTTTTAAAATACAAATTTTACTCCAAGAGTCCCAGGTTTCTGTAATTTAAACTAATGAAGAGTTCAGGTGCCTTGGCAATAGACCAAAAGGAAACAAAGATGTAGAAACGAATAAGACAAAGCAACATATTTTGAGGTAGTTGACTTTGTTAGTCTTTGAACTGTGATTAATAATTTGAATTTCATTATCACTTATTCAATATTGCCGTGTGGTCTTTTATCACGAATCATTTTAGATAGCTAGGTACATATAATCAATTTTTTTTCACTGTGGCGAAATCCACCTAGTTGCTATGGTGATAGTCATTATAAAATGAGTAAAACAAAATTAAGACCACTACATGCCTAGAATAAAATCAGTGAGGTGATACTCTAAAAGTAGGCATTTTTTAATATATTGTTAGAGCCCAAAGTAGAATTACATTTGCCCTAAATAGTTGGCATCTCCAGTTTTACATGAATGCTTATGAAAGAGACAGAAAGGAGAAAAGCTAACCTAGAGTGATTGTATGAGAAAGGCGAATTATGTAAGATGTTCTGTATTGAGATTAAGAGTATATAATAAAGCATATTGTTTTCGATTCAGGTGTTATAAAATTAAGTTTCAAAACTGACTTTGAGAAATCAGGCCATAGCTCATACAAGTTTTCCTAAATGTACGATTCCCCCCTTTATGTTCATCTGTACTCAAGAAAAGAAAATAGAAAATACCCCTTTTTTCTTTTCAACCACTGACTCAATTACCACTTAGTATTTGGCAGACAGCTAAGAATAGACTGTTCTCCACATGACAGCTTCTTTTTCTCCACACATTCATCCTCCCTAAATTCAAAAATACATGTTTTCTGGTGACAACAGATTGAACATGTCTTTGGAGAATTTGAGAAAATATTCTAAAACTCATGTGCTTTCACTGTCTCCTGTTGACACCAAACAACACTGCCCAATCCTTTCTCAGAAGCAGAGAAGCTTATGGGAGCTTGAAGAACACAGTCCATAAAGTTTCATCTGCTCTCTCACATTGTGAGAAGTTTGTAAATCAATTACCGGATGCTGAAATTCTTTTGGATTGAGACAAATTGTTGAACTCCAAGAGAATACAATGCTAAGAAAGTCATTAGCTTTGACACTTCAGAGACAAAACAGAGCACCATATTCATTTGCTGTTCTTGTAAAAGAGTATCAGGTTTTAAAAGTTAAAAAAAAATGCTCACGTACATCTTTTCATCTATTTAGGAAAAATAGTTGGTGTATTTATGAACAACAAGAGTAGCAAGTTCATTAAGGAATGTAAAAGGAGTGGAGAAAGGAGAGCTGGGGACCTCATAGAGGATGGTAACAATCTTAACAGTCATGTTGACAGTCAGGGCTTCCTTTTTTTGTTTTGTTTTGTTTATATTGCTTTGTTTTGAATAATCTTGCTCTGGTGACGTTTTCCTCAACTGAAAATGTGAAGAGTCTGAGGCACGTTAGCTACTGGTGATTAGGCCTTGAGATTTTTAATTCAAAAAAAAAACCTTGCAAATTTCCCTCTCATATGCAGAAAAAAACCTGGGATTCAAAGACAGAAGCTTTCTTATTTTATTATCACGCACACATCTCCAGCCTCTGTGAATTTATCCTTCCCTCGATCACTGCCTGTCTCACCTTAGAAATTAACATATATTTTACTTTTGTTTCTCTATCATTAAAAATGCATTGCAATGAATAATATAGCAGGGCTGTGTATAAAATGAAACCTTCCGCATCCTCTTTTAAATGTTTGTTCTTCAGCAGAGATCCTCTGAGGAAAACATATTGAAAGGATGAACAGTAATTTAATTTTTTATCATAAGCATTAGTGGCAAATAAAGGACAAAAGTACTTTGCAAGGCTAAAGGAAAAAGATGAGATATTCATCAAGGGAAAATACTGCCTTCATATTGACTGCCAGGTCATGCATATTCTTTTTCTTTTCAAACAGAGAAAATCACAAGATTAATATGCAGACCTTGGAAATACTTTCTATGTGTGTGACAGCAGCAAATATAGAAGATACTTGGTATACATTGTTGGTGCTTTTAGAGAGATATCTAAGTGCTTTTGTGAAAAAAATGAGGTTACTAAACAGCATTTTTGTTACAATAAGAATCTAAAATTCAGAATTATACTGTTTTCCAAAGTATCTTGAATCATGATCTTTTCTGAAAATTAGATAAAGGAAAAATCTTTTCTCCAGTTAGATTGTTAATTAGCTGTGTAAAGTTAAGAACAAAACAAAATCTCAGTTCTGACTGGTGCCAAAAGTCATCATGACATATGATACTCCTGCATTGATTTCTTTAATTTGACTGACAGAAAGCTTGAAAAGGCTACAGGTCAAATTCAGTGAAACAATATTGCCAATCATTTCTTTAGAATTTGCAGCATAATTAAAAAGAAGGATAAAAAGGAAGTATTGTCTTCCATTTCTAAGAGAAAGTTTAGAAATTATTCTATATCTGTCTGTCATCTTTCTAGGTTCTGAAACATTTGATCCATGGGTAATGAAAAAAATGTTTAATTGGGAAGACTTTATGATCTGTGAGGAAATAAAACCAAATCTCATGTAGCAATACCTCTATTAAACAATAGTATAATTAAAATTGTTCACCTAGACTTGAATTGAAGGTCTCTTTAATTATCTGTCCTGACCTTCAATTGTAGACCAATGTTCAGGAACAAAACTGTTTATCCTGCCTTCAAAAAACAGAATATTGAATCTTCTCATCCTAGGTCCTTTCTCCAATTTTCCATTTTTCATCCTTAAATAGAGGTCCCCAAACACAGTGCCCTTAATGTCTCACTAATTTCTTAACAGTGCCTTTAAGCCAAAAGAAATACCTAACAGTTCCTTTTATTAAGTTGTGATATGCAAATGGCTTAATAAGTATTTATGACCTAACAGTTTAGTAGATGTTTGAAAAGATAACACACATAAATTGAAAGAAAAAAGTAGTAATGTTATTTTATTCTTAAATGACTGCAATTTCTTACTAATGAGATGTGTACACCTGCTGGGCACTGCACACCTGACATTTTGGAACCAGAGTGAACATCCCAAGTACTCATTTGAATCTTGCCTTTTAAGGCAAAAACTGCTCCAAAAACCCAACTTTTCTAAGATGTTATGTAATTGAAAGGAATATCATACAATCTAATATCCAGTCTATGTGAATGACCTTGAGCTAGTAATTTTCCCAGCGTTCAACAAGTGTCAAGTATTGGCAAAAAATTTAAAATTCCTTCAAAAAATTAAAATTCCCATAGTACCTTTAAATTCACTGAAGCACCCAAAGAAACAGCACAGGATTTGGGACCCATGTCCCCTCGAAAAAATTCCAGAGGAGAATCAGTCAAGCTGGTTGTATGCCTGTCCTTCCCTTTAAAGCTTAGATGACAATCTTTTGTTTCCAGTTTCTCCCTTCTCTTTTCTCTCCCTCTCTCTTTGTCACACACACACACATACATGTCATCACCTACTGCTACTCATTTCATCCATTCATTCAAGAAATATTAGCTATTATTAAATATCTACTCTAGACACCTTGCTAAATTTTATGGACACAGCAATGAAAAAAAATTCCATCTTTGCTCACAGAGCTGGTGGAAAAAGCTAGAGAAGTAATTAACCAATTGCAATGCTATTCTCCTAAATAAGAAAGAGCATAGAGAATTATGGGAACACATAGACAAGGCAATTTGCCCAATCTGGGAAATTTGAGAAGAGTCATATAAATCAAAAGTCTGAAATTATCCACAGATATCACACACAAATATTATTTTCTGTAGGGCTCAGTGTTCATTTAAATGATGTATTCTATTTTTTTTTATTTTATTTTTAGATTCCACATATAAGCGATCTCATATGGTATTTTTCTTTCTCCTTCTGTCTTACTTCAGTTAGAATAACATTCTCCAGGAACATCCATGTTGCTGCAAATGGTGTTATGTTGTCGTTTTATGGCTGAATAGTATTCCATTGTATAAATATACCACCTCTTCTTTATCCAGTCCTCTGTTGATGGATATTTAGGCTGTTTCTATGTCTTGGCTATTGTAAATAGTGCTACTATGAACATTGGGGTGCAGGTGTCTTTTTGAGATAGGGTTCCTTCTGGATATATGCCCAGGAGTGGGATTCCTGGGTCATACAGTATGTCTATTCCTAGTCTTTTGAGGAATCTCCATACTGTTTTCCACAGTGGCTGCACCAAACTGCATTCCCACCAGCAGTGTAGGAGGGTTCCCCTTTCTCCACAGCCTCTCCAGCATTTGTCATTTGTGGATTTTTGAATGATGGCCATTCTGACTGATGTGAGGTGATACCTCATTGTAGTTTTGATTTGCATTTCTCTGATAATTAGTGATATTGAGCATTTTTTCATGTGCCTATTGATCATTTGTATGTCTTCCTTGGAGAATTGCTTGTTTAGGTCTCCTGCCCATTTTTGGATTGGGTTGTTTGTTTTTTTCTTATTATGTTGTATGAGCTGCATAAAGAAGATGTGGTATATTTATACAATGGAATACTATTCAGCCATAAAAATGACAACATACCGCCAATATGTGGAATCTAAAAAAAAAAAATCGATACAAAACAGAAACAGAGCCATAGACATAGAATACAAACTTGTGGTTGCCAAGAGGGCAGGGGTTGGGAAGGGACAGAATGGGATTTCAAAATTCATAGATACTGATAGGCATATGTAGAATAGATAAACAAGATTATACTGTATAGCACAGGGAAATATATACAAGATCTTGTGGTAGTTCACAGTGAAAAAAAATGTTACAATGAATTTATGTATGTTCATGTATAACTGAAAAATTGTACTCTACACTGGAATTTGACACATTGAAAAATGACTATAACTCAATAAAAAAAAGTTTAAAAAAAGATATACTCTAACATAAACACATTTTTTCTCTATCCTGTAAAAGTCTCTAAAATTGGAAAGTATTTGAAAGACTTATACTTTTTAAATCATTAGAGGGGGAAAAATTAAGCCTACATCAAATACTAATGCACCCCCCAAAATGGTGTCAGAAGTAAATAAACAAAAGCAAAATATGTAAACCTAAGGGGCTCCTCTTTGGAGATGGTATTCTGAGGCACTTGGGAAAAAGGACAGTTGCTCAATGGCAATTCTGATGGAAGAGTATCGGATTCGCCGATGCACTGAAAAAGATCTTGAGTATCCAGAGCATCTCCAAACACATGCTTTTGTTTTTGTTTCTGTCTTAATGTCTAAGATCACATATGTTTGCCCACTTAAGTGTATGAAGAGCTCAGGACCACTACACCAAACATCTTTTTTTTTTCCTTCTTAAAATACTTCTGTTTGGAAAGTCACTTCAGGTCCAAATTAAGTCTGCATTTTAGAAGCTTATTGTCTCTGGCTGTCAAATGGCAAATTATTGACATTCTTATTACTTCTGTCTATACATTTACACAGTGAAGCTTAAAGCATCTATGATGCCAGAAGTCCCAGGGTGTATTTCAAAAAACATCCGTGACGTGGTATGGGGAATGGGTATCATCTGAAAGAGAGCGTGCTCGCTACTAAGGCTTCTGTTCTTTGCATCCTTTCACGGCCTTTTCTCAGTGAACAAGAAAAGAGCAAGCTCTTATGCCACACTTACTATGAACCAGATAATTTTCATCATGCTTTACCTACAGAAACTGATTGCCTTTCATACCGCCCCATGAGTTAGGTACTCGCATTTTCCCCAAATAAGAAATTGAGACCCAGAAAAGAAACCACCAAATGGTGAAACCTGATTTAAAACACAGACAACCTGGTTTTAGAGTCTGTTTCCAAACCAGTATATTAGATTGCCTCTTGCCCCAGATCTTTATGCAGGCTGCTCCCACCAGAGACACACATTCACTGACAACCCCTGAAGAAAGGGGACCTAAGAAGAAATGCTGAGGATTTTTTTTTAAAGGAGAACATTTATATTCTCAAGTTCAGTGGGAAGATTCAAATTTACAGTTATTGCTAATTAAGATTCTCTTCTTGTCTGAGCTTTCCTCCAACGGATGTCACCATATATCACAAGACATAAACAGATCTTTCAAGCTAAATACAGTTCTCCCAAATTGGTATTAACTAATATGTTAATAGGAGGCATTTGGACCTCGCTCTCTCTGTGACTGTATGGAAAACATGCCTTGCTGTCCTTTGGATCTTACTGCCTACATTTTTTGTCAATCTGTGTTTCCCTAGATTTTACTTTTAACTCTAGTCTTTATTTTTAAACTTTGAAACTGCTTTGTGATATTGACCTCTTTCCATGATATTACGGGTGATGGTAGGTGACCTGACCTCCATCCTTCCTGCCATTCCTTGGGTCTTTCACAAGGACATGAGTGTGTGCTGGCACCTGGTACCTCTGTCCCTCCCCAGAACCACACCCAGAGCCTTGGGATGTGACCACAATACATCTGGCACGTGCAGGGGGAGACAGGCTCCTTTCCTGCCACTTGAGCTTGCTTGAATACCATGCCACAGAGGTCTTTATCCAGCCAACAACCTATAGCCAGAAAATATTCCTTCAATAATCTGTGTGCACAAAATATTAATATTCAAATGTAACCCTATCACATTGGTTTTCAATGTCTGGCTTTTTCTTGTAGCCAGTGAGTCACCCGGGTCCCTGGATGTACTGCAGTCCTTGCAGACAGTGTTAAGCCTCGCTGCATAAAGGCAAACAACATGTACTGTATTTCAGAACTTATTTTTTTCATGCAGCTTCTAAGATTTACATAAAATAGCAATAATAACATGGTGAAAGCAGTCTTCAGGTGGATTTTAAGCAGAGACGTAACTGAAGCCAAATGTTAGAATAGTTCCAGTTAACTGTGTGTTTTTTTTGTTTTTTTTTGTTTTTTGTTTTTTGGTTTTTTTTTCCTGTTCAGTGAAGAACGATTGTGATAATGACCTGATCATGGGTTTGATGGAAAAGTGTGGGGCTGGGTGTTGTTCCTAGTCAACAGCGCCACCTTTTGTCTGGAGATGTCGGGTCCTACTGAGCACAGCTGGCTTTCCCATGTGGGAGCTTCATTGGGAGCTTAGGCAAATGCTGTAAATCCCATTTTCTCCTTCCCTTGACATCAGCAAAGTCAAAATTTATTTTTAAATAGCATAAACTGCTTTTAGGACAAATAAACTTTAAAAATGCAACCAAGCACATGGAAAGAAACATCACAGCTTCAATATAGTTCCATTAGACCCGCTAAGCTCTCCCAGGTATATCCTTTTATCTAGCCTCCCCACATGGATCCAAAAGAGGCTGCAAATTTCATGGTTTTTACAGGAAAAATAAAAAGTATGCACTTCAGTTTGTTACAATCAGCATGATTTAGAAAACCATGTCTCAAACCTTGTAGTTGGCTCCATCTGAATGTTACAATATGGGGAAAATGAAAGAGATCTAGAGGGGCGCGTAAAATCACAACCCCTTGAAGTCTGTGTGCCTTGCAAATGAATAGTTGGGTGAAGCAAATGTAGTCACTCTTCTGTGCTCTATTCAGATAAGTGAAATAACTGAAGCCTTGAGCAATGAAAGAAATTATAAAGCAAAAGTCAGTTTGCTACTAAATTCATGAAGGAAGGTAATGAATAGCAATGTAGGTAAATGTGGAGGAGGTCACAGCAGGAGTCTAAGTGGAAGTCTGGGGAAGCCTACACAGCAGGGACCTAGTTTCTGCAGAAGTCTGTCTTCAGAGGGGCTCCTAGAAGAAGTCGTCCTGAGGTAAAATAAATCTAGGCGCCATGATCTTAAACCAGGCATGCATCCTAAACCACTGGCAATAGGACAGTTATGAAAATATGACTTCTGTCCTGAGATCTGCTTCGTCAAAAGCGAGAAGGCTATGACACGAAAACTCTGTAACACATTGGAAGATGGGCAGAACCACCTCTACAAAAACATCACATAGAAGGAGTGAGGTTTTCTGTCCAGATCTGCCACACACCACCGTGCAATATTGGAATTGCAGAAATCCTGTTCATTATTGACGATGGTGTCCGCCAAAGTATCTCCAGTGCTTCGAGAGAGAGCTTGGCCGAAGATACTTTTGGTGAATTTATTTGAAAAGCATCATAGTCGGACTTCTGAAAATAGGTGGCAGCCAAAATGAGCAGCAGAAGGCACTCACAAGAAGGGAGGATTTGCAGGAGTGAGAGAAGGAGAGAGAGAGAATGCAATGTTAGGTACCATTGTTACCATAAACCCTCCATTTCCACTTATGAGAAAGGTGTGAACACAGGAAGGCTCAATTCTGGAAAAAAAAAATTGAGAAAAGGTTACCTATCACTGATATTTTACATTTCTCAAAGGACCTCAAATCACTTATCCATCCTTTTTGAGTTACCTGTACATAGTCAAAGTATTACAGAAAGTTAGGAGTTAATTTAAGATGGATCTTTCAAGCAGAAATGGATTTTTTCCCCTTAGAAACTACTTACCTTGCCTGTGAAGTGAACCAAAATTCACTGGAGAATTATACAACCCTCCATTTAGTTTTGGTTAGATAAGTAAACTTTGACATTATTAAGAGTGATTTTTTTTTCACTGCCTGAAGACATGAAAGGGAATAAATGACCTCTTGAAATCCCTTCCTATCTGTGATTCTATTTGTTACACTGATTAAAACTTTCTAAAGAAAGAAGTTCCAATTAGGGCTAACAGTTTCATGGCAAAACCCTGCCCAAGTCCCAAAGTCACTGATTCCAAAGGACTAAATCTCAGTGCTAGTATTCCCATGTCCACTACAGAAATCAAAATTGTGCCAAGTACAAAATTGTCCCGAATGCTATTTCAATGGCGAACAAGTGGCTTTTCTTCCAGAATAGAACTGCTTCCATAAATTTCAGTCATTGCAGTTCAATTTTTAAAAACCATTGGCTGCAGCAACCCACTGATCAATGCAAAAATAAAGGCAGAATAATAGGTTGCTATTAAAAGTGTATAAATTAATCATCAGGTAGAAATATTCGTGAGTTTTTCGTAATTTATATTTCTCTTTAATCTTTCACAATCTGCATTACAACCTCATTAAAAAGTTCTCAAAACCAGTACTCATACTGCTATATTTTCTTAGTTTCCCTCTTATTAGAACCCTGACACCTAGCAAATTATCCTCATTGTAAATAATACTTTAAAGATACCTGCTTTTCAAAGATGCTGTGAATGAGAAATGAGAATGTTATTTTAAGGGAACATTCCTCAAGTTTCCCAAAGAATAGACTGTTTTCAAGCTACCAGCAACATCAGTTATGACTTGGAGGATTTCATTTACTTATTTTTTTTTTACAGCTGATATCTGAACAAGCACCTCTCAGCACAGTTGCTTGTGTTGCAGACTTACCGTGAGTGAGTCTTGCAACAACACACAATGACCTTTCTGAGACAGCACAGTTACAGCCGTTCAGTTCACAAAAGCACCATCTGCTTTGTTAACCAGGCACTAGGTAGACATCTCCAGTGGATCCCTTTGCCCTTCGCTCCCTGCCAAAGTGAATTCCGGAAGAACAGGCCATTTCACATAGGGATTCGGCTTTTCGTTCAAAGCTGCTGCCCCTTGTTCTCCTTTGCATTTTAATCATACGCTTAAAGTGAAATAGAGTCAGGGAAAAAATCATCCAAGACAGAAGGCAAATGCTTAGTTTCTAAGGTCTTTGCTTAACTATGCCACTGCCTATTCAACTGTTACAGAACTGGAGAGAAGTTAAGTACGCAAACTCTTTCTGCTCGGAGCAGGACCCTAAAGATTAAGAACGTTAAAGTCAGTTCTGAATAAGTCCTTATACTTATACTAGGGAAGCAAGTGTTAAAAAACCAGCCCTTCAGTGCCTGTCACCTAAAACTCAAAACTAATCAAGATGCTAATTAGAAAACACTATGATAAATGAACAACTTAAAAAGGTCCATGAAAGGGAAAGACTGTGGTTCAAAAGAAACAAAAACTTGGCCCTTCCTTTCCCCCCTGTTATCAGGGTACGTTGACACTTATTGACTCTTCCTATACAATAATCTCTTTGTTGCTTTGTGAATTCCTAGATCAAGAGGAGAAAAAAACTCAAGATTAAAATCCTATCAAAATATATCCTATAATGCGACTGTTCCAGAAATATACTGGCTTTTGCAACCAAAAAGCCATAATAAGAAGTTTTATTACTACCTTGTAAATAAATTCAAAGAATATCACTGGTCACATTGAAATCAGTATTTACCAAATTTGCTAATTATTTGATTAATTTGTTTTTAAACCTACGCTATTAGCTTCTAGCATTAAAAATAATTCTTTCTGTTTGTATAGCAAAAATACAACTTTATACCAATATTACAGTAACTCTAATGTCCCTTTGCTGTTTTTTTCCCCTTATTTGCATTGATTTCAACTGCAGAAAAAAAATAGGGAGGGTCCCCCTTCCTTTTGGCTGGCACCAGTCTATTCAATTATTAGCTGTGAATAGTAAACTACTCATTAGGAACAGAGCTATATATGTAATGTGAGAGGTAAAGTTTCAGTTAAAGAAGAAGTTGTCAGAATTTAGTGACATTACAGAAATTAAAATTCAACGGTTCCTTTCTAAGTTCTTAAAATGACACATGCCAAATCTTTACATATTACATACATTCCTTCCTATTTTACCAACCTTCTGCTAAATCCAGCAAATAAATATTAAAAGCATTTATCATATTTCTTCTTTGGGTATTTGCTCAAAGATATGAGCTGCCGCTTTGAAGTACCCTCCTCTTGTCATAAATTCCAAAGCATTCACGGTCTTTGTTCAGAACATCTGCTAAGAAATTTTCCTTCTCTGTCATGAAGAAGGGTCTGCAACAAAGACAGACGTGAATCATTTTGGAAGGTAAATAAGGGATTATTCACTTACAATTAGATTAAAAGAAAGGCAAGTCATTTGAAGTAAATGGGAACTCATTTTTTTTTTTAATGCAGGGGAGCTAAGAGCTTGAAAAATCATTATAGCTTATTTTACATTGGAGAATTGGGAGGTCAAGCCATTAACTTTGTGAATTTGTGGAGGTTTCCCAGAAGCTTACTCAAATCCACTCCTAGGC